ATATATATATAGATTTGAACATTTAATTTCTATTAATTTGAGTATATAGGTGTGCTAATAAATACATATGTATTTATATACATTTGCATGAGCCAAATATTTGTTAATGCAGGTATATTGTGCAAAATAGCGAGCTAGAGCTTTAAGTTATATTTTTTAATATTACCATCAAGTAGCGATTCTCACAATAATAATAAAAACTACATAGTATACGTGCTTTATATAAAATAGACAGGTAGACAATAGTCATTTAAGAACTGAATTGGTGTATTCGAATTTAGCTCTGCTATAAGTAAAATGCTAAAGCATATTGAAATTAGTCGTGCACACATACGAACGACAAACACTTTTCCATGTGAAGTAGAACGATCCTTACCATATCGCGCTGTGAGCGCGGGGCACCTTTCTTGTGATCCAAGTATCGCATCCAGGCTTTCACTGAATATGTATTCCGTAACAAATCCTCCTCAAATGGTATGTCGAGATCGTCCACAACAAAACCTGGGAATTCCTCCATCATGCTGGCGCTGCTTTTGGATGCTGGAACCGGCATTGTGCTGTATAGTGTTGTTTTACCAGATATTGCTCTGTACATTACTGTGCCGATTAAACTATCGCCCTTTCTGTCTATATATTGTATAGTCGAGCTAGCGTGAATAGTTTAGAGATCGTTTAAGTTGGACGATAACCATCTCTAAAATGTTGAAAAACACCGTTTAAATTTATTTATATGCATGCACAGGCTTCCCAGAGAGCAGGACAGATCGTTCCTTTCAACTTTGTAAATAAATATCCACACGCCAAAACTTCACGGTTTCATTCCAAGAAAATAATCCAAAAACCTTTTTGGTACCGAACTATCCCAACTGGTAAAATCGACATGAATAATTTTTTTTTGGCGCGCACGCGGCAATGTAAGCAAATGGGGCACGCGGACCGAATTTAACTGTCCCTCACCACAGTAACGTTTGCCTTCCCTTGGATTGAACTTTACCAAGGGAAGCTCCCTGCAAGCATGTGAAGTTTATCGTGAAGATCAAGCTTCCATCACGAGCATATGCTTCTGACACTCATATTGTAAACGATTTTAATTTGCATCTTAATTCTCTGCCTTCATACTGATCCGGATTGCTACAGTTTGTATTTCTATTTGGATACATTCATGTTCGGCATTCGTTGTATCAGTATGTCACATATATGTTCCTGTAAAAAATCTACTGTTCAAAATATCGTAAACATTTGTAGTATTTAGCGGCAACATCTTGAGGAAGATTATAGCTAGCATTTATGTCATATTTGTTTTAGGAGTACACCATTAATCATGCATGAGAGTCTAAGATTTATTTCCTCGGTTTATCGAGAGGTACTGACTAAAGCCTGTTTTAAATTAACGGTTATAATTCAATGCGGATACGGAAGTGCTACTTGCATGCAAGACATCATAATATCGGAGTTCGTCCCGTCGATATTAATCCAACAATTATTTCCCTGTTTTATATACATACGGTTTGATTGCGTTCTGGTTCAGACTACGGACATATCTGAGTGTGTAGCTTTAGAGGTGATGAATCTTTCTGACTATTTATTTTGGGGGGCGGGGAGGGGCGGGATAATGGAACACGACTACACCTGAGTGTAGCGCTACTAAAATATTTGTTGTACAGCATTACTGTTGTCAGTTTGTATCCCTGTGCGAGAAACAGATTTTGCACCTTGTTCGTTTAGTGACTGCTGTGCTTAGTTTGTTTCGTTTCTATACTATTCTGCTGCTGTCTGAAATGATATTGATTTTCGAAAGTTAGATCTACTGGTGCGGAATCATCTGTGTTAACAATGCTTAGATTTTGGTTTTAGCTAAGACCCTTAGTCGTAAGACATTCTTGTATTTATTTTTTAAAACCCCCTATGTTGAAAATTGTTTAATATAAAAACGAAATAGGTGTAGCAAATCGGTTTGCTAAATTGTCATTTGCATTTGCTTTCAATTCGAGTGATTTGGCTAGAGAAAGAACACCTGTTTTTGGTTGTATATGGTCGGAAATACCTTCAAACAACAACCTTAAACCGTTAAGCAACTAAGTGTAAATAACTTTAGTTGCTTGTGTGAACAAATGTGCCTGAGGCGGATAACTCTAAAACCCGGATGCGATATTTCAGATTTCGTCAGCTACCGTTAATTTGGGGAATTGACCGATCATAAAATGGATTAAAATACCAAAACAATAGATACGGGTAATTTCAGAAACCCATCACAAGAGAAAATCTCGTCTCAACTAGAAACATGATTAATAAATATAGCAGGCACTCGTGCAAAATCAATTGCCTAGGGCCTGTTACATGATAAGATGAAGGAATCCCTAGCTGTTGTACATAACCCAGTTCCGGAAGGTACAGTCCGCCAAAGAAGAACTTTACGTTGTCACGTAAATATGAAATTTTACGGAGGCTCAGTACCCGTAATCCTGTAACATATTGTATAGATTAACGACAGCGAAGGACATTTGGGGTTGCTGATGCAAGTGCAACAAAGCTGTGGACATCACTCGTCTACCTACTGTGCACATTCGCGGACTTTGTAAATTTCAGGTAAAGAATACAACAAAGATGTCTGCCCCGACTGTAAAGATACTGACCAGATTACCACAAAAAAATGATAGTTGTTGTACTACAGAGACGAAAGCGCACGAAAACCGACAACAATGAAATCCCTAACATTCAGTGGAAGTCTTGACGATACCTATTTGTAATTCGCCAGCTAGATCATCTACCAGTGAGGAGCGGACGATCCTAAAAACAATGACACAACAGTGCGGCCTATAGACACCTGACGGAGAACTCAAGTACACATAAGAAGTTGATTTTCAAATCCCCTGGCGGACTATATGAAAAATAGCATCTAGACTTAGTGGCTGCGTACAAACAAATTGTTTATTATGTCGCCATCGAAACATCCGTGCTTACGACATGTTAAAAAAATCATTCAGTTCCCGCCGCAATGTTTTGCGTGAGATGAGGGACAGATAACGCCAACTCTATTCCGTGGCGACAAGTTGTAATGCCATCGTGAATCCCCTGGATTTCTTAACGATGAACAAGCAGTGAACTGCAAGGTCGCGGAACCTACAAACGCCTCGGTAGAGATGAACCTATAACTGTGTTCCCCCGCGCAAAACATTGTGATGAGCACCTAAATGATGTACGTTGTTTGTTGCAGGGTCTGTCTAATTTGAATTTCTAGTAAGGCCACGGAAACAACTCAGCGACATCGGACAAACATGAACCAAAGGAGTGACCACCTGATTCCACCAGGGAAACTATTATTTGGATAACCCAACGAAAGTACAATTACATGCATTCGATGTTTCGAAGCTAACTTTAAATCACTTGCATAGAGATCACAGGCCCTCACAGAGCAGTAAAAAAAGGAAGCGGCTCTCAAGGAATACAAGATTTTACCTATAAAATATGTCATTTAAAAGAGCAACAGCTATTAATGTATACGCACAGACGCAAGACTTTGGACGACAATGTATACACACATATGGGTGTTGGCGTCCATGAGGTTGAAACTGAACTATGGTACACATGACTCGATAAAAATGGAGGTGCGCAACTACAATAATCCACTACAGGTTCACCGCAACCATGGCATGCTTAATCCCATATATCAAGCAACAGGCGCGGCCTACTATTGTGACACACTTTGTATTTGTAAGAGAAATTACTCATCAGTGAATATGCGCGAGGTCTTCCGTGTGAGCATTGATAACGCGAAAGCAACCCGGCGTGGTAATCTAGCTTGACCAGTGCATGCGGATTCTTGTCAACTCACAGGCACGCTCACACTTGAACGGTCATGATACGCCGTTCAGTCATTACTCAGGCGTCGACAGATAATGCTTAGATATCCATTCAATCATCAGCAAGGGACAAATATGTTTATTCAGCGAACAAGTCTTTGCGTAGTCTTCGTTTGGCCATAACACAATTACCTTTTATACATCACGGCGATGCTACAGAAGGTACTTTACTTTTAATCGTGTAAATTTACCAGAGAATATCGTCATTATACTAGGCATAGACATTGTGGGCCATCTGGGGTTAGGTCATACGGTCTAGAATCATAGATGAACTTTGCGGATGGCCCAGATTTGCAAAAGACTGATGATATCCATCACCGATTGCAGAAATACATACCTAAGCGCTAACGATATAATACTGGAAGCAGCGCAATAGACACTGGCATACAGTAAGATGTCACTCCTGAAAATGAGCGATAAACTACTGGACCTACAACGACAAACACAAAACTTTGTATCGGACAAGTGCAACCCGCATGTTCAGAAGCGGGAACATTGACTTGGTGATTAATCGCCAAACTTTGACTTCGACAGTGAATCTCACATTGTTGGCTGTACCAAATGCGCTCATATCTGAAGATGAATATACCTTCCCCAATGTCAACGAGGTTATCGTCAACTTAAACGAAAAGCGATCTTACACCACACTAGAATTGTCCACGGCATATCATCGGCAATCGGCTACCGGTACACATCGACGCCCAGTACATGTTCCCCTTCACGTGGGATAGCCAACATTTCTCAAATACATCGGTACCATTTGGGTCAACAACACTCACATCATAATTCCAGCGCATAACCAGTGATCTGATGTCGGGTCTTGATACGCAATGTCAAAATGTCGACGATTTGATAATTACATCTGACGACTACAAGGAGCATATAGCTACGGTACAGAAAGTCATTCGACACTTGACAGAGACCAACTTCAAAGTAAACCACTATGCGGTGAACAAAGTCATAGTCCTCGACAAGGTTTCGGCCAGAGGTATCGATGTGAAGCATGAGAAACGACAACATTTGATTAACTAGCCATCACCACGATTTCAAAGAGATAGCGCGCCCGATTCAGGTCTCGCCAGCTTTTTGCAAAAACACATACCAAACTTCGCGCATAAGATTGATTCCAGCTGGCCAAAGAACCCGACCGGAGGTTGATTGATGGAAACTGGAACATCAGTTGGCATGTGTTAAGATGAAGGAAGCGATTGTGTCTGTTGTTCGAATCAATTTCCGGAAAACGGAGTGCCCTCAGAGTTGGAAATTCTTAGATGATTAACGTCAAGAATATAACATTGGTGCAAACTATCACAGATTTATATTTGTCGTACTCAGACATCAATTCAGACATTAACTCATCCACAGCCATAACGTTGGCTCACATTTCACTTTCACTCAGAGTGACGTGTACCGCACCAGCAAAGCCGATACTGACCTCCAGACTGATCTGGAGAATTACAAACGTCATAACACGGAATTAGGCACTGAACTTAAATCACTCATCGCGAAGCATGAAACGTTGAAGGTCGACCACAAACAGATCTCGTATCGCCTGATCAAGGCTCAATCTCGACAAAGTTCGGACAGAATTTCAGGAAGCGTATGTCCAAATTATATCCTTGAAACATACACCTGCCAAACCTACATCCTTTTGTTTATTTGTCGACGACACACGGATCCAAGCCCCCCAACC